ATTTAAATAACATAATTCGAACTTCAACTTAACTTAACCTAGAAAGGAATCGACCATCGATTCCATTGAACGAAATCCAGTTATAAAACCTATTTAATAGAATTCAAGCTATCGTTCATATCAATACTACACATACTTTACCACAAATTGTCCAATAAACTCTTTCAATGTTTCAAATTTAATCTTTAATTACGCGAAACCAGCACTCTAATGAATTTATTAAAGGATTAAGAGAGAAGAAAAGAAAGAAAAAAAAAAGAAAGAGAGAAATGAAAATCCTCGTCGTTTTTCCTCTCGTTGTCCCTTTTAGAAACGACAGCACGCCATTGCATTCGCCTATTTACATCGCGGAATAAATTACAAATCGGCTGCAACACAGTCGTCGTGGCTGGCGTGTAAAAACGATAAGGATTATCGACGCCAGCCTGTCGATGCCTGTGAGAAAATCCGACTTAAACGTCCGCCTCGCGCCTTTTCTCTCCCTGTGTCCCGCTCTTGAGAGAGAGAGAGAGGGGGAGAAAGGGAGCGAGTAATAGGTTACGGTAGTGCAAATCGTCGATGGAACGAGCCTCGATGCAAATACGTTACTTACAACGCGAACCAGGGTATAGCGAGGAATGCGGAGATCGATGGTACATAAAAACGTTTATGTAGTTTTGACAACGAATGAGAAAAAAATTGAATAGGATTAAGAAGTTAAGAGATATTTTTTTGGAAAGAGAACTTCCTATTATCTGTGCAAGAACACTATTTGTTTTGGGGTAATGAATCTCTATTAATGATGCACGGAATCACTGTCAAATTAAAAAGTAAAGATCAGGATATTTAACGTTTTAGAAAAAAAACGATTAGTCGATGGTTCGATTTCATGATTCGAATAAGTATAAGAAGGATTCTCATAGATCAATATATATATTAGATCAATTTATATTTATGGTTCAAACAGAGCGTATCAGTTCATTTGTTTTACCATGAAAAAAAAAACCAAACTGTAGGGAACAAAAACGAAATTTCAAAGAAGTGGAAATTTTCATTGCAATGTTCCCACTGAGAGACTTAACCAACAAGCTCATCAAGTTGGAAACAGTGTTTTTACGAGTGCATCAAAGGGCCCGAACTCGTGTTTTCACGTAAATCCATTCGCGCCACGCAAACAAGATAAATTAAATCGGTCGATACGGACTCGATCGATCGCCTCTCCTCTCCGCTCTTCGCTTCCCCTGGGAACGCGACTCGTGGAAAATCTTCGCGTGGCATCTGGGAAGCAGAGCCACGGTGATTTACGACGCATTATCCACGGCCCGATAGGGGATCGCGTAACGATGGCTACGGCAAAATTAATCGCGAGCGGTAATTATTTTCGTTCGGTACGATTTCTCGGAACCGGCCGGCTGTGATGGGAGAAACGTCCTGTTGCTCGTCGCGGTACGTAGTATTCCTCGACCAGGGAATTCTCCACGCGTGTATGTGTGTACGTGATTATGTTTGCATCGCTAATGATTTAAAACTGTCGAAGACGAACGGTGAAATTTCGAGCGATTGCCTTCTCTCCAATGCGTTTTTCGGTTCGTTAGCGATGCCCGCCAGATGTCGCGAGTGAGTTATGGACGAGGCTTACGGACTACTTACGACTCGAACCGTTTTTAGATTCAATACTGTTTGATGGATTTGGAAGGACCAATTGGAGGTTGGTTTAATAACATTTAGAATTTTTGGAATTTTTTTTCTTGCTAAAATGTTAATAAAATATGTGAATGATTTTATTGATGTAGAAATCTAATTGGATTGGATATTTTTTGATAATTCTTGATAATATTTGATATTACGAAGAGAGAGAAGCTATAGAATATTCAAAGATAAAATATCATTGGTAAGTTGTTAATCGAGCATTTCCAAATCATTGTGTAGATATTGTGTCAAATTCCCACGAATTAAATAGCAAAAGACACGAGATCGATTAAACTCGTAACTTCGCCGATTAAGACGTCCAACAGGTAAGTGAACACAATGTTCCCCGAGCAAACGGTGGAGTAATCGTATCGGTGATATTCAAATTAGAGCGATACCGGTACACACTGTGTATGTGCGTGATTAAAAATAAACGCGTGAGTCGGCGTAATTTCACGGTTGCGCGATTTAGTTAAGTCGCTCGCGTGAGCCATTGCTTTTACGATTGTGTATTGGACTTCGATGGAGTCGCTTTATAAAGGGATATGCAAAAGCTTGTGCAAGCGGTGAACGAGTTTCTCGATCCTCGAGGGTAGAACACACACACACACATACACACACACGTTGAAAAGAATGCAAAAAAGAAAGGAAGAATTGAAGATTCGTTTTCGCGAATGTTATTCGTGCCCCTTGACGTCATAGTTGTATTTGACCGCATAAAAGCGATATCTCGTCGAAAATAATGTGTTCAACATATTTCGAATGATTCACAGATCTTTTGAGAAATATTTTTTCATTCTTTGTTCGAAAATATTTTTTCATTTTTTTATATGCAGAAAAAAATCATCTATTTTTTACTGCAAAATTAATATTAGACAAACTTTCTAATTAAATGAACAAGAAATTGGATCTGTAAAATGATATTATTTATGAGATGATTTGATATATATATAATACTTCAATATTTTTTATCAATAGAAAGTATTGAAGAAATTAATATGAAATATAAATTGGCCAAATAATTAAAAATACAGTTTCAACAGTTTATCGACAGCATTTGCTCGCTCGCTCATCGAGGCAACGTCGATGAACTTGACTGAAGGTTTCACTTTCCTCCTGTTTCGAAGAATTATCGAGAAGAGCGATGCATGAATAATTCATGCATACATAGTTCCAAAGAATGATTTACTTAATGACTCTTCTTCTCCCCGGCTATCGTATCCTCTGTCTACAGTTATTGTCCCCACGAATGGCACGAACCTTGAACCTCTACTCCAACCCAACAAGGCATCAGGCTCTTTCCAGGACATAAAATTTTTTATTTCAATTCGCGTAAACTTCTATTAAATATATCTTATAAATATAACTTCTATATAAATATATATTCGTATCGAAAATATACATATTCGATTACACGAAGCGTAATATATCGTTGATGAGATTGAAAAAAATTCTACAGTTAAAATATCTCCGTTTTCATCTTCGCGGTCAATAACCATTTTTGCCTCAAAAAAATTTCTATTCTCCTACTACCACTTTCTAAAACAAGTGTTTTTATTTCCGCCAAATTGCCTCTGGGCTGAAAATCACGAAAATAAATTTCATAACGATAAAATTAATATAGTGAGAATAATTAATATTAACAGATGATTAATTAATTAATTAAAAATTTATTTATAATTTATCAAAATCTAATTGAATAGATCTTAAAATAAATATGTGTGTATAATAAATTTTTCTAAATTTTTATCATATAACTCTAATCTTAACTTAAAGTTTTGAAAATCAGTAAATCACTGAAAAAAAAAAATGAAAAGTTGCAAAAGAAATAATTTCCTCTAAAGATTTATTACATCTAATCTAAAAGAAGAAATAAAATGAAAATTTCTAAATCCGCCATAAATTGCATAATCCTCGAAATTACTAGGCACATAATCGTATCGAGATCACTAAGCTAAAATATTAAAAAATCAGCCCGCGATCGTACACGAGTACTCTTAAGTAAAATTGACGATAAATCAGCCGTGAATCTAAATGGCCGTTCGGGATCCTGTAGCAATCACGATAAAACCATCGTAAAACGTTTCTTCTTTTCCCAGATTTCCCCACCTTCTGTTCGAGGGAAGAAACGAGGGAAGATTTATGCTATCCAAGAATTCTAACTTTTTCATCAAAAAACTCACACGAGGAAATCTAGAAGAGAAGGAGCAAATCTTGACAAGCTGAAACGTCTCCGCATTTTCTTACGTGTCTTCTTCCACGCGAATTCGCGATCGATCGATGTTCTATTTTCTCCTTTCAATTTTACAACCGGTTAATTGCGCGGATGGCATGGAAATGGCAAGGCAACGTGTTTCTTCTTCTACTTTACTCCTATTATTTATATAAACGAGACGAGGAACGCCATCTCTCTCCTTGCTTATGAAACGAGCACGTATGTTTATTTACATACGATTATTTATAGATTAGAGAGATGTGAGGCTTTCACCGTCGAATATGATAAAGTTACTTATACGAATGTTTATATTTTCCAAATTGAATATATTATGTAAACACACCTATATAGAAACGAAACTATAACAGAAACGAATACAAATAAAAATCTATCTCGATCTTTAAATATAACGTAACGTGCACTTTAACCTCGATTATTTTATGCATATTTCCACACACATTTAAATTTATAAATGCACGAAGAGCCATAAAATAAAAAATTCTCGAATTAGGATATTAAAAAAGACAAGAAATTCGTGTTTAATAAATTTTATTAAGCTTGTGTTTAAAATTAACAAGTATCCGGTGATTTACCGATCGGACAGGTATTCGTGCAACGCGTAATAATCGTTGCAACTTCATCGCGAATTTAAAAGAAACGCAAAAAACACGATGATGTCGTAACAGATGATGAGCCAAAGACGATAGATTCGACTCGCTCAAATCGAACACTAGTCACTCGCGAAACGATTCGACATTCTTGCTAACATCTGCAAAACGTTATATCGTGGAAATTAACGCGGATTAAACTCGCGCGAGAAATTTTGCTCGGAGCTGGAATTATGGGCATTTAATTTATGAATATTATTTACGACGTCCCACGTCAACCACGTCGCGGACGAACGGCGACAGCACGAAAGCGTTAAAACCTGTAGAATGTAGGAAATTTCGTTCATAAAGATATCCCCCTGTCCGTGAAATCATTGCCGGCTTTCTTCTCCACGGGCTCGTGCCTGGACATCGTCGCATTAAAATGTTAGATGTCCGCGTTAATTACACGGTGAAGCGTCTCAGTATTAACACACTGACGTGTATCAAGACGTTTCAGGAAGCGGAAATTCGTCGCGGTTACATAATTATCGAGCATGCGGCGGGATTATTTACCACCCTTGGAGAGAAACCGAGGAAGAAGCATGAAGATTCTAATTAACGAGTTATTGATGTCTTTGGGCGGAAGAAATGATCGACCGAGAAATTCTGTGGATGCATGGATCAATTTTGCAAAAAAAAAACGTGAAACGAGCATTCTTGTTCGAGATAGAATCGCAACAGGAATTTGTTTTAGATGAATTATTTGTGTATTACGGTAAAGTAATAATTATTTTCATTCAGAAATTATAGTAAATTGATTTACTTTATTGGAATTTTATAAATTTAAATGAATAATAATATATTTCAATTTTTAAAGAAAATGTTTTTAGAATTTTTAAATTAAAATGTTAAACTTCTAACTAAATTTTTATTTTTAATGGTTAATTGCATAGTAAGTTTAAATTAGTTATATAAGCGAAATCAAGCACAAACCTGAAGGAAGACATCAATCAAATTAAAGAAACTACAAACTTATTGAACAGTAATAAATCATTTTGCATAGTACAAGTATCTGAAACATAAAATTACAAATTTTCCATCATGTTTTATTACTTGCTTGTTTGTTTATACGTGTTGTAATTAACACATTAATTTGTTTATATACGTTATTAAATTCAATACTAATGAAATCAGTGTATATTTGTAGAAATTAATAAAACAGAATACAAGAATCAAACAAGATATCTTCTTTTTTATTATAACAATACTTATATAATTTATCAAAACTGAAATCCTTATTCCAAATTATTCCAAATTATCTAAGAAAGAAATATTCGCCATTAAACAAGAAGTAATTCATTCTGTCGTCAGAATCAATCGAAATCTTTACCGATCGTTTGTTTTTGCAAACGAAAAAGACCAAAAGACTAAGTCGCAATGAAGCAACCGGTCCTATAAGAAAAAGAAATATGGAGAACGACCTTCAATTTGATACGACAGCGACTCACACGAGTTGATCCCAGGCTGATTAGACCGTTCTCGATGCACCTACTCATTAATGCACGTAGCGAAGAAGAGAAGTCAAGCACAGTCGAGTCGCGTTACTTTAATAGACGTAGCAAAACTAATGGATGACAGGAATAAGAAAGTCCGGCTGGCTTCGTGGTGCCTCGTTCCGAGGCCAGTCGCAAAAACATGCTGCTTATCGCCGCCTTCATCTTGTATTCTGTTTTTACAGCGAATAATTATAACAAACCAGCGATATACTCACAGTCTATGGACCTTCTTCTTTCTTTCGCTCCTCATCTGTCTGGTCTCACGAATCGTGGCACGAAAAACGGCAGTTCCAACGAATATATAGGACCTAACCTAAAAATGAAAAGCGTAATCAACGTTTTCAAAAATGTTATCCTCGTGGCGATCACGAGCATATTATATTATCTATGATATATAAAAACATCATAACTGATTAACTTATTATGATTCCCTCCATTGTGCAGTTAATTAAGATCTGTCTTTCTGACAAAAATATGTAACACATGCACTTTTTAACATGACACGTTTTATTGACACGCATGTGCGCCAGTAACTGAGCATGCGCAATTAACACCGGTTCTACACGCTCCTTGTATTTACCGAATTATTACTTTGTAACGCGCGTGCTCAACGCTTAAGATCGAAGATTTCGCGGTTTCTTCTTTTCTTTTTGCACTTGTCCAACGACGATGATGAATGACTGCTTAAAGAGGACCGCATGCTTGAGAACTATTTGCTTTTTGTATCACGGATAGCTGGATGCAGTTATGAACGACATGTGTAATTATTGAAATTTCACGATAGAAAGCAATACTTGTTTGTTGGAATCGATGATTTTAAATGAAATTTAAATATTTAATGTTTGAGAAAAATTGTATAACTTTGTAATGTAATATTTTGATTTTAAAAAACATATAGATGATCGAGGTAATCCTATATTCCATGTTATGTGTATTTTTATTTGTAAATAAATAACCGCCTTTATCATATAAATGCAAAAAAAATGCAACAAATAAGATTTTTCTCTTAAATTTTTAATAGGATATCGATTATTGAATTAAAATGCTTTTTTTCATTTAATATTAAATAAAAGTAAAATGATATATATTAAAGTAAGTAAAAGTATAATATATATTATTAAGTAGTAAAGTAAAATAATTAAGTAAAGTAAAATATATATTAAAGTAAGTAAAGTAAAATGATAAATATTAAAAAAATTATAAAAATGATTATATTAAAAATGATATATATTAAATGATATATCATAATAATTTTAAATCTAAAAATCTGGCAAATACAGTGTGAAATGTGTTAACAATCTTCACAATTTTCACACTATAGTTAATTTATAAGCAATTTTTCAATTCAAAACACGTAAATTCAATCCTTAATAATATATTATAATATTCACGTAAATCGTAAAACTTTCTGAACTCGTATATATATATATATATATATATATATATATATAAAATATCTTATATATTTACATTAAAATCATCACTTTGCATTTTATGATATTACAATTGCAGATATTGAAAGCGTTTGTTATGCTGTCAGCACAAAAATGGTGAAAATAATTGGCTTATAGAGATACATCGAAAGTACCAAAGTTTCTTTCGAATACTCTGCTCGAATGCGACCCAGAACTTATTAACAACAGGATCCCAATTTCTTTCCAGATGTCAGTCATATCGATTCCATAGTATTTCCCTTTGCTTCTCTTTTGGTCAATTTATCCTCATTAACTACTGATCGTTACTACCGATTTCGATTGCAATTTCAATTTTACTTTACTAGCATAACCACTCTTTTTTTTTCATAAAAAATCATAGAAAAATAATTATAAACACATAATAGAAAAAAAACACGAATATTTGAGATATTTAATTTATACAAAATAACCAAAAATGATTTAATGTGAGGTACTATATATATGTTCTTCAACATGGTGTCACTAATAATCTCATAATTAATGTAACATTAATTACTAAATAAAAAAAAAAAAAAAAGAAGATAAAAAGAAACTGGACAAACGAGGAAAGATATTAAACGCGGTATTTCCCAGAAAGAGAAATTTACGATCGATTAAAATTGCTGTTCGAATTCCATCGTTCGATATCGTTCAAATATTTTGCAAAAATCCGATGGAATTTTTGCTTCAAATTTATTCAAGAATCCAGCTTTTTACTTACATCTTTGGAAGATATCCGTAATTAGATAACAAGACCCAATTTTCATGAGAAAAATTATTAAAAATCTTTCCTTGTTTCCGTTTTCTCCTCTTCTCGATAATTCTTGATAGCAATTCTCTATACTATGGTTTCCATAATAACGCAACAAGAAATGCCGAACACGAGGCAATTTGACAGAAATGAAACCGGAACCGGATTGAAGAACATTCCCTTCTCCGTGAAATACACGCGCGCATTCCAAAACCATCCTCTATCTTAATGAACTCGTTTTTTTTTCGTTGCTCGTTAAATGGAAATGCTTCGAAGAAATTAATTAAAGTAGAGGAATGAGTTGCATCGATGCCCGACAAAATTTAATAGCCATCGTGTTTTGCCCTGAATGGAAAGTGACAGTGTAGTGAGAAGACTATGAAAATAACAATCCTTTTAATCTCCTTTGAATTTTAGTTTAGAAATTAGTTTTTGTGCTTGCAAAAAGGAATTTAACAGGATTTTTTTTTTTTTTTTTTTAATATTGCAAACTTTGATATTTCTACTTTTAGATACTATTGAATTTATTATCGAAATTACGCAACGATTGAGTAATGAAACAAGATGTAAAAATAAAAATAGAAACTTATCGATATCGTCTCATTATTGATTAAAATTTTTAATTATTTTTAAAAATCACGACAGATTTTTATTAATTAATTGTAATTAAATCTGTTTATCAACATTGTATCAAACTGTTAATATTTTAAGCTCATCCTCGAGATTAGAAATTTTAAATCAGAAAATCCAAGGTTCAAATAAGAAAATGCTACCGCTGCCCGAGCGAAATAAATTGGATAACATTACGCGGTATGTAATACAGCTTTCGTAGCTCGATTAAACACAGGTCGAGAAAAACACGATCCGCGATCAGAACACCGTAAAAGCCGGCATTTTTCATCGAACTGACAATTCTGTAAAATGCTTGAGAATTTATCGCCATGATTATTTATGATCTCATACGAGGTGTCGCCTGTTATCGCCGCATTATGAATTCAAACACCGTGCGAGCCGGCAAACATAGAGAACGAGACATATCCGCTCTTAATTATTTAAAGATTTTCCATTGTCACTGCGACCGATGGCGAAACAGTGCAGAGAATTACGTAATCGCAAATCACGATTGATTAGCCGCCTGTTAATAATTCCACGACGCTTTTAAAACGAAATGAATTACCACGTTGCTGTGCAATATGTCATATTCTACTACTTGCATCACGGTTCTGTGCTGTTACCGGCAAAAAATTAATGAGAAACTAATACGCGGTATATTGCAACATAATCGCGGTTTCATTATATTTTCTTGGATATATTATATTTGAAAAAAATTTTAAAAATGAAAATTGTCACAAAATTGCATCTGTTTTTGAAAGTATATACAAACCGGTATTATATTTTTAAAATAAAGATGGAGGTAATAAAAAATTTCGGAAAAATGAATTAAATGATATTGGAACGATGAAAATATTGTAAAGATAAGAGAATGAATATAATTTTTACCTAAGAAAAATAAAATAATATGAATTTAATACTAAGATTTTTATAACAAGAAATTAATTTATGTACAAAAAATTTCATTTTGCAATGATATCAAAAATAATACAAAAATTTAAGACATCATTTAATTTTGAGCTATGAAATGTATTTTAATCTTTAATTATTTTAAAAATATAATAATTTTTCCAATTATATGAAACATCTGTATAATTATTCAATTAATACAGATGATTATTCTGATTGATATTTTAAGACAAAATTTATACAAAATTCTTAAATAGATATATTATTATTGATATCATTTTATTTAATTTATTATTGCAGAGATTAATTAAAATATATTTGCAAAAAATATGGACCACCAATAAATACAAAATTGGAATATTATACTCAATTAAATATAAAATTTACCGTGCAATGTTGAGAATGATTCATCAAAATGTACTTTTTTGTAAATTACACGAAGAGTAACAATCGTTATGGCAAAAACGACACATCTCTGTTTCTTTCCCGGTAAGTCCATTACAAAACCAGCAAGTATAAAGTGCTTATGAGTCATTCTGATTCCGATTATAAGGCGCAAACTTATATTATTTATTAATCATTTTTTCGCATAATAATCTTACGCAGCACAAAAAATTGTAAAAAAAGATTGCACTACAATAAACTGTTTTTAAAACGTATCCAAATTTTATATATACACACTTTAAACTTATTTTGTTCATCATTTTTTGTTCGTATAATAATCGAACGAGAAGTACAACGGAAAAAAAAAGAAAAAAATAGAAATTGACAAAAATAAAGGAAGAACAATCGTGCAACTGGAACAAATGTTACAAATAATGAAATAATTACACAATAAGAAAGAGAAAGAACATTAATTCGCAAAGAAAATCGATTTTAATCACAATTTTTTTAAAAAAATTGTGCGAGGATGCCCCTCTGGTGACAGAAAAGATATAATATGCGCATGCGCATATTGCGAAAAGCGCGAAAGCACAGCGCATGCGCATATTGTGAAGAGCGCGAAAGCACAGCGCACGCGCACCATCCGCTTTGGACGATTACATTAGCTCAAGCGATGGCTATCGTTCTGTACGCACGATTAAATTGATTTATGGATAAACGTTAACGGCGGCGTTTATTTGTAGTTCGTAGGTTGGCCGGTCTGCCACAGGAGAGTGGGTGAGCCCGCCATAGGAATTCGATTTTATCTACTGACAGATACGAGATCGACCATTGCATGACGTGCTTTTTTTCCATTTACGATCGCCCGTTTCTTTCGTTTCACGGGCTCGATCGTACGTGCTCACGGAATCGAACATAAAAAGAGAAAAGAAACCAGCCGAACGTGTGAAAGAGAGACAAAAGATCTCGGAGAAAGAAAAGGTAGGTTAATAGAGATGGAATTTCAGTTAGAAACTAAGGACGGAGGGAGTGAGAGAGAGAGAGAAATATATAAACGGAATATAAGGGAGAGATACTGAGAATTCGCGCAATTTGCATTATAAGGAGCATGAGAAGTCACAGGCCATTATCCACTGACACAAAGTCTACGTGGAACTGTCCCTACGACGATATCTCGTTGACTGGCAGAGATTATGGCCGTAA